TCTTCTCCGAGGCAATTGGCGATATTTCGAACAGCGTAACAAAAGTAGAGAAACGACAAGATACAACTGAACAAAAAGTATCTCAGCTAGAAGAAAGGCATAATCAGCTAGAATCCACCGTAGAGACTTTAGATTGTCGACTTAAAAAGCTAGAGGAGGGTTATATGAAAGCCACAGCCAATGCCGAGATATTCCAACTGCCCCGTCGCAATAGTTGCTTTTGCGGTCGCGAAAGTGAGCTACAAACAATCGCAGAGCTATTGAACAATACTAAGAATGGTTGTTCTGAATCAGCAATTTGCGGCCTCGGGGGTGTAGGAAAAACATCTCTTGCTGTCGAGTTTCTCTGGCGACAGAAAGACAAGAAGGAATATCCCGGTGGTATTTTTTGGATTTCTGGCGAAAATAACAAACTTTTTCAATTGTCTGTCAGCGAGATGGCACGTCAAGTTGGTACTTTTGATGACGAAGACTTTTCCAATTCGCTGTTAAGAACCTTGGACTGGCTGAGAGTGCGCAAGCAGCTGTGGTGTCTAGTGGTTGACAATCTGGATGAGTTAGAAATGTCCATGGATATGCGGAAGTTGCTTACTGGTCATTGGAAACAGGCTGCACGTGGTCATATCATCATGACCACAAGACGAGAAGCAAAGGAAATCGGAGAAGAAACGGGAATCAAAGAAAGCTCTTGTATTGAGTTGAAGTGCTTGACAGATAAAGAAGGAGTACAGTTTTTACGAATACGAAGTGAGATAACCGGAGAAGATGATGATTTTCGCGAGCTGGTCCAAGAACTTGGCGGACTACCTCTGGCCCTTGATCAAGCTGCAGCCTATATTAGATGTGTCCCCCACTCGACTGTTAAAGAGTATGTCATAAAATATAAAGAGAAAAGACTGCGTCTTCTGGATAAAAGGAAGGCTCGCCATCTGGTTGAAAATACTTCCCGAGAGCGTTTGGCAGTTACGACAACATGGCAGTTAAATTTTGATCACGTAAGACGCATCTCAAAAGAGGAGGACTTAGGAGAAATCCCTGCTCTTGTGATGCATATTTCTGCTTATCTAGGTCCCGACGACATCCCTTTTGAAGTGATAAATGAAGAACTAAATAAAGTGGACAATGCCGAAGCAGCAGGCGATGTGTGGGACTCAGGCGATATTGTATCGCTTCTCACCAGGTTTTCTCTTTTCCAAGGGTATAGGACGAAGTCTTTTAGCGTACATCGTCTAGTGCAAGAGGTTATCCGAGGTGAGATTAAAAGAAAACAAACTGAGTTTCGAGTCCTATCGTGTGCAGTACGTGTCCTTCATCATGCATTAGCAACGACGCGTTCGCCAGCGGAAGTATGCCGAAGTTTCTCTGAAAGTGCTGTTTTCAGGGTGGAGAATCCTCCGTCATTAAGACTGTGGGGTAAGTTGGCTTCGCATGCCACCTACTTGCAAGAGCATTTATGCAGCTTCTCGAAGAAACACAGAGGTGAAGCCGAGGGCTTACTACACACTGAAGAAGCCGTCCGTTTATTGAATGACGCGGGGATATTTTTCAGCGTTTCTCAAGAAAAAGTTAAAGCTCAGGAGATGCAAGGAATGAAACTAGAGATGCTAGTAAACCTTGAGAGGTCAACGTTAGAGGAAGCTCCTGATGATTTACCACATTACTTCATTGACGCGCCTCTGAAACATCGGAACTACAAAGTGATATCCTGTTGTATGAGACAGCCCCTGTCTGAGGAGGAGACCTTAGCTGATCAAGATTCATGTAGAATTGGAAAGAGGGAGGAAGCCAACAAACTTAGAGAAAACGGAAACGTTGCAATTGAAAGCAAGAAGTACGAAGAAGCATTTAATCTGTATTCCAAAGCCATTGATTTGTCCTCCGGTGACTATAGGCTGTTCTTTAACAGGGCCCTTTGCCATTTGAAATTAAATAAACCAGAAAGTGCTTTAGATGATTGTCGAAGATGCCTTTCTTTGAACCCTAATAACAGCAAGGCACTCCATCGAAAGGCATGGGCTCTCCGAGAACTTGTCAAAAGTGGGCAAAGTCAACGGATAGGAGAAGAACGTGCAGCAGTGGCAATGGCCCTGCACTTTGATCCATCTCTCAAACAAGACAAACAGTTTTGTGAGATTTTTCCTAAGGTTCAGGAAATGCGTATCAGAGAAATAAGCAATGAAACACAGTTGGCATTTGCTTTGATGACAACCCAAGATAATGAAACGTGGTTATTACGTGAAGAACAGTATAGTGTGATGGAGTTTATCGTCTTTTCTGACCTCCAAATTGTAGGCCTGGGATCAAAAACAATTTTGAATTGTACAGAGCTATGCCTTGTTTCCCAAGCCAGCCTCTACGTTGAGAGCATTGTCTTTCAAAAAGGTAGCTCTTCCTTAACTTGTCTAGGTAAGGAAGGGGCTATTCACACGGTTAAGTGTGTATTTTCGGGCGGACTTTCGAGTTGCGAGGACTATCCAGAATGTAACGGAGGTCCGGGCTGCAAAATGTCCTCTTCAGGAAAGACTGCTTGTGATCGCACAGGAAAATTTGGTAACTCAGACACAAAGTCTGGAATTGTTGGTGCTCCTGGAGTCATGATTTTGGAAGGGAGCTCGGCACTGTTAGAGGATTGTAAAATTCATAACTGCGGAGGCGGAGGAGCTTTGGTTGCTGGCAAAGGATCTCGGCTATTTGTAAGAACATGTGAAGTGTACAGGAACCACCAAGCTGGTTTGGAAGCAAGAGAAGGTGGGGAACTTGTTGCGTCTAGAAACGAGATATTTGATGGTAATCATCACGGTATCCTGATTGGTCCAGATGCGGGGGAATGTGAAATCAGAGACAATGCGATCTTCGAAAATTCAAGAGAGGGAATCTACGCCGAGCAAAACAAAGCCACAGTAATCATACAAGGAAACGATATTCATCACAATGGACCCTTTGGAATTTCTTTGGACAGTAATTCTAAAATTTTAATCAGTAATAATAACATATTTGAGAATGGATTCTGGGGGATTCTTGCGAAATCACGAACGTCAGGGTGCATAAAGGGAAACTCCCTCTCTGGTAACAAATGCGGTGGTATTTTCATTGGTGTGAATTATTCTGGACGAATTTATTTGGAATCTAACGTTGTTCGAGACCACGCTGGTCCGTGGCTCGAGTATCAGAGTACCAAATTTATTCTGCAGCCCAGCGGAGGAATGGCGAAAGATCTTCCAGCTGGAGAAAAGGAGTTTTATTCAGTTGGACCCATACTTAGTGGAAACGAAGAATGTAATAACGAAGAAGGCATGTATCATCCCAGAGAGGTTTTGGAACGACCTTATAGTGGTTGTACCTATTGCCATCGCTCACGAGCTGCTGTACAGTATCTAAGGAAATGCCCTAGTTGTCACATTGCATCATACTGCTCAAAGGAATGTCAACGGAAGCACCGATCTAAGCACAAGACATTATGCTTAGCCCTCAAAAGTCGTTATTCCGTGACTATAGAGCTGATTCCCTACGTACCCGAGACTCTTGGGAATTCAGTGTTATCCATGCGAACATTCGGCAGTCATCTTAAGGGTATCGGAGAAGGCCCTAAACTTAAACGCGACAGTTGCGATAAGTTTATCGTTAAAGTTCAAACCGGAACTCTAAATACTCACCCCCTTCAAAAGCTAACTGTTTACGACCAAAGCCTCAGTATTGATGCTTTTATTCAGAGCCCAGACATCTTCAACGTGATATGGGAATGCGGCGTTCTAGGAGCTTTACATAAATTTACAATCAAAAAAGTATTTTTCTGGGCAATGTTTGCTGAAGGAGGCAAGAAGTTGACAATTTTTCTCGATCACCTGGCTCCATATCAGGAGTGGTAACGGATGGTGCACCAAGCATGGAAGATAATATTGGATGCAGAAACAGTTTCCTTCTTACAAAAGATGACTTCAGTAGTTATTCTAAGTATTTAAGGTATTACCAGCAACCGCCCCATGGAAAAGTTCTCCCTCTCCTGTTTTACAAGAGCTAGTAGAAACTGTGGACACATTAAGAAACCTGAATCCTACGAGATCAACGGTCTGGGACATAATACCTCTTAAGTTATTAAAAGAGAGGCTGGTGAAGAGGTCGCTCCATCTCCAGCTGACTTCCTCAATTTGGTAATATCGTCAGGGGAATACCGAACAAACTGGAAGAAAGACAGAGAATGGTCGACTGTTCATGAAAAAAGGATAAAACTGACAAAAAGAACTATAGGCAAGGTATTTGAAAAAAAACTGAGTGATCAAATAACGAAAACAGTCAACCACCGAAGTGTCTATTTAAAGAAAAGGGCATAGCTGTGAGATGGCACTATTGAAGGTTGTCAAAGATTGGAAAACCACACAGGAATATGACAAGGTGGTAGGAATTCTTTTAAACGATACTAGTAAAGCGTCTGATATCCTCCTTCCCAATTTAAAGTTAGAGTGAAACAATCAGACCTCTTGAGACTTAGGAGTGAAGGGTGTAAAACGGACTGTCTTTTATATCCCTCTCAGTTAAAACATGCCAAAATTATTCCTGTCTAAGTCAGATGACCCAACGGATCCTGGTAATTATCGTCCCATTTCTCTACTTTCTATTTTCAATCGTATCTTCGAAAAACTAATGTATAGACGGCTTAAAGCTTTTATTGATAAAAATACCGTTTTATTTAAGGGCCAGTACAGTTTTCGAGAGAAATACTTGACACAACACGCAATTCTTGATATTGATGACACTATACAGGAAAATATGGATAAGAAATTAATCTCTTGTGGAATTTTTCTTGACCTGAAGAAAGCCTTTGTTTGACACAGTTGACAACTCAGTATTACTTTATAAACTGGACCACTACGGAATTCGAGGTGTAGCTAATTCTTGGTTTATGTCCTATCTATGCAATCGTACACTATCGACACAAGTTGAATGTACAGTTTCAGAGAAAAGAACAGTGGCTTGTGGAGTCCCACAGGGCTCCGTGCTTGGCCCATTGTTATTTTTGCTATATGTTAATGATATCTATAATGCCTCTGAGAAATTTAAATTTCA